AATATATATATATATATATATATAAGATAAATGTATGTATACATATAACAAATGTGTAATATTTAATTATATAAATACGTCTGTTGAGAAAAGAACTAAATATTTAGTTAAAACATGTACTTCAAATGAATCACAGACATTCCTGTTAATTTCTGAATAACCGTGTCACCATCAAGAATACAATAACTAGCAATTGAACCAATTTGGTTTCATTACAGATACATGTTGTAATATCCTTTATCATTCTATTTTCTAATATTAACTTCATTTTTTCAAGATTTACTTTAACTACATATGTGTTATTTACATTTCATATTGTTATCAAAGTTTTTCATTTCATTTTACGTAATTTTATATTATTTTAATGTTTTAGGTGAGAATTCATCCTCAGGATCTATTTCTCCAAGTGTGCCTACTTATTTAAGGCAAAGACTAATTCACAGGCGATCTGTGGATAATTTAGTAGGAAATTCACCAACAAATTCTATGAGACATTCAAGTCCAGAATCTATAAAAAGTGCACCTGTTCAACTTAAACCACGTTCTACATCTCATGATGCTTTATCCAAAAAAAAAGAACGCCATCCATCCCAAACAGCTGGAGCATCTATGGATAGTTTAGCAAAACAAGCATTGTTAGCTGCTCAAGTTCTTAATTTGATTCCAACACAAAAAGCACGAGAAAGGTAAATAAATTTTAATAAAGATCTTATTTTGTACTTGTTTTTATCTGTTATTTACTAATTTTTTTATTACAGGAATTTTCTTCATGGAAGAATTGCTGCAAATTCTTTGCTTGGTCCAGTAGAACTTGAAAAAGTACTACCAAACAGAGAATTAAAAATTTTTATTGGAACATGGAATATGAATGGACAGAATCCACCAAAAGAGTTAAATGATTTCATGTTACCTTCAGATATAGAAACTGTTCCGGACTTGTTAGCAATTGGAACACAAGAATCTTGTTCTGAGAGAAGTGAATGGGAAGCAGCTTTACAAGAAACTCTTGGACCCTCTCATGTTTTACTTTATAGTACTGGTTTAGGAACACTACATCTTGCACTTTTCTTAAGGAGAGATCTAATTTGGTTTTGTTCTATTCCTGAAGACGCTAGTTTTTCGACTAGAACAGGAACTGCTTTTAGAACAAAAGGAGCAGTAGCTATAGCTTTAATGTTATTTGGTACAAGTTTTCTGTTTGTTACTGCACATTTAACTGCACATCAAGATAAAGTTAAAGAAAGAGTAAATGATATTAAAAGGATAGTTAGAAATCTTGATCTTCCTAAAGATTTACCTACAAGACATAAAAGCAAAGGTATGAGCATATAAATATTTATTACTATTATTGTATTATAAAAATTATATTATAAAAATATTGAATAAATATCATATTTTTAGATGTAACTCAAAATTTTGACTGTGTCTTTTGGTGTGGTGATTTAAATTTTCGATTAGCTCAGCCAAGAGAAGAAGTTATTCAATGGGTTACAGATACATGCTTTCCTCAGCAACTACCTGTAAATTTGCACAAAGACCAATTACAAACAATTCTTAATGAAGGAGCAGTTTTACGTGGTTTTGAGGAAGCACCAATTACATTTCCTCCTACATATAAATATGATCCTGGAACACAAAATTTTGATTCAAGCAGTAAACAACGTACACCTGCTTACACTGATAGAATTCTTTTCAAGGGGAAAGGACACACAAGAGGATATATTAGAAGAGTTAGTCACGAAAGCTCTAATTCATATAAAGATGGAGTTATAGAATGTTTAGTCTATGATTCTGTACCAAGCATTTGCACTTCAGATCATAAACCTGTATGGGGTGTTTTTAAAACAACCATAAGACCTGGTATTGATACGTATGTACTTACTATTCGTGTAGCATAATTTATTTCCAAAATATATCATATATTATATGTCATAATCATATTTTATGATTAATATCTGTTACAGTATTCCTCTAGGTGGAGGCTTGTTTAATCGTGAAATATATTTAGAAGGTATAAAAAGACGAGCAGCTGCTATGGATGAATCTCATGGAACTTCAAAAGTATGTTCAATTCAATAAACATAGGTAATATAAATTTCACTGAAAAAGGAATTTAATATTAAGAAATTTATATATTATAAGCATTATATTTGTTCTAATTTTTTAATGCCAAAATGTGAGATCATAGCTATTGCAATTCTTACAATTAATATCACTTCTTTTTTTGTATGCTCTATATATATGACAAATTTATTATAACTGTTCATAACTTTTTTATATGAATAACAAATACCGTTTTTTAGTGCAGTTTATAGAACGTGTTACTATACAATGTGCACTTTGTAATGTCTAGTCAAGATAAAGTAGGTTTCCCATTTTTGTAACTAGCAACGAAAATGCTAGATACTATAGATATATGTGCCATTTCTAAAAAAATAAAAGAAAGAAAAGAATAAAAGGTGCTCTAATATCTTAAAATTTAAAACATTTATAAAAGACAAAATGATTTTTATAGGTTCTCTGTGTGTAGATTTTATTATTATTTTGTGACTGTGTTTGTATGTTTTATTTGTGGAATATTATAAAAATATCTAAGAATTTGGAAGACATAAGCATTGTATTAATAATATTTATTTTAAAAAATTATGTTATGATACTTTTCAAGTAAATAATTCGCATAAAAAAATATACAAGGCCTAAAATATGTTAAATTGAAAATATAATAGCACTATTTAAATAAATTATTTCATTTGCGATTCTATAACTTATAATCTAATAATTCTGAGTTTATTTATTGGGACCATCCATGATATCCAACTTAAAAAAAGATTGAAGTTCACATTTTTAAAGAATTAAAATTTATTAAATAAATTTTATTATTTAGTTGAAGTTAAAAAAAGACTTTAATTTTTGCTTATCATTAAAACTGCATAAATACATATAATTTTGTTGTAAATATTTAAAAAAATTGATAATAACTATCATATGAAAACTCAGAAGCATTATATCACTATATATGTAAAAAACAAAAAACATAGCTGCATTGTTATTACTGAGTATAATATTATAAATTATTTTAATACATAGTTCAATGCATCTAAAGTATTATATTATAATGTATGCAAAAACACAGATAATAATAATTAATACCATTATTTTCCAAAACCGTTTATTTTTGTTAAAAATAAATTAAATTAGTATGTCCTTATATCTTGTCTCATTATGTAATATTTTTGTAAAAGTTTAATATTCTTTTTTTTAAATAAAACAATTACAATATTTTAATTTCTAAAATATTAAAAATGTCTTTTTTATTCTTTTCAAATAATAGCGTTGAATATTTTACTTTGTTAATTTTAAATAAGCTGGTAGAGTACAATAAACTACTTACCTTGCTTCAACATAATGAGGATTAAGTTTAATTGTAAATTTTCAATTTACAATTCATGGATATCTTATATAAATAAATGTCCAAAATTTGGTGCTTATAAAATAGTATCTATTTTCTATATATACCATAGTATAACTATTATTATTATTATTAGAATTATTTTGTGTACATTAATTATTTTATTTAATACTTAAATATAAATTAAAAGTTGACTATAATTGTCATATAATTGTGATTATGTGTATACTATAGGTATCTTATATTTAAATTATATATATTAAACAATAATGTACAATAATATATTAATATAAGAGTTTGTTTTATGCAATACATCACAATATTATGTACTTAAAAGTTATATATACATATTCATAATAACAGCTTAATATTAAATAGAAAATAAGTGTCAACTACAAAGCAATATAGAACCATAAAAGCAACATTAATATATACATGAAAAATAATTGTTAATTTAATAATGCTTAATTATTAGACTGATGTTTAAGATATTTAAAAGATTTGTATATGTGACAAAATATTTTATATTTGAAGGTACCAATCATTTAGTTTAAAAAATACAAAAGGAATACATAATAAATGCAGTTTCTTTTATATGTAAATGAATAATAATATGTTTACTTTGATTAAGTGTTACAAAATTAAAATATATATTTCTTTATTCTATTAAATATTAACTAATTCTAATTGTATGATTCTTATTTATTGCTTGTTTATAAGCAGTATATAAAACGTAATTATGATTTAATATATATTAAAAATCAATATTTCCTTAAAATTTGTAATATACTTTTGTAAAACTACAAAGAATTAATTTTATAATTTATTTATTTTTGTTATTTGTGAAAGATATAAACAGATGATAATTATTGTAAAAGTAAATATTAAATCAAATTTTATTTGTTATAATGGTATTTTATTTATAAAATTTATTTAATTGTAATTTTATTTCTTATGATAGTTAAAACTTGTGTATATTTTTTTTTTTTTATCATAATTTTGTTAATTTTATAATTTTAATTACAACATATAGTAGTTAAGTCATTAATAACAATTTTTCTATAAGTACAATATCATTATTTTTTATGCAATTACAATTTATTATTTAATACTAAAAAAGGATATGAAATTTAAGTTATATAACCTTATATAATTTTTATATATATATAGGTTACAATTCCCTTCATTCAAAATTGAAAAGCCTTTTAAAAAAATTATACGTACTTTAATTTTTACTGTTATATAATTATTAATTAAATTTATTACCTTACCTTTTTTTTTAGAAAATATATAAATGATAGTAATTATTTGTTTTATAATTTATTTATTGTCGTACCAAAGCTTTAATTATGTATAATTAATAGTTTATATTCAAAAGGTAAAAATATTGCTTGTTATATATTATTCTACATAATTTTTATAAGATTAATATTGAATTTATAATTCAAAATAAATGTCTATTTATATAATATATTTTATGTTATATTATATGATGTGTGTAAAATATTATAGTATAAGGAATATACTTTTACATATAAAAGTGCAAAAATGTATTACAAATATAAATAGAAATATTAACAAAGAAATTAGTTTTAATTACGTCACATACAAATGTACATATAGACAAAATACAAAATATATTATAAAGTTTTTGGAAAAGGTCAAAATAGTAATGTATTTCATAAATAACTTTCATTTCCAAATTAATAAATGCATATTCTAAAATAATTAACATATTCCATACAAAGATAAATATCTATTATAAACACGATTTATTAAATATAAATTCTTTTTTTAAATATATCTCTGAAACCAAATAGTATTATATAGTGACATTTCAAAAAATTGAAGAATATTTTTAGAATTTGAGAACAGCAATCTTTATTTAATGCATTGTCTTGTTAATATTATATCTTTTATAGTACATTTTTCTAATATAACCTATAATATCACATTTAGTAACAAAATTTACTAATGTTAAATTTGTTTTTATAATATTTCTTTATATACAGTTTTGAACATAATATAATGATATATAATTGTTACATCTGAATTACAACAATAAATGAGTCAAACCTGTATTTATAGTATTTGTAATATGAAATTGCTATATTAAGTTGCCATATTGGAAAAGATAAAATTTCTGATGTAAAGATATAACAATAATATTATTGTAGAGGCATTAAAACTAATTTAATTAGTTGTATGCATTTGTATAATTAAATAAGTAAGAGTACATAGTTGTGCAAAGTAGAAAGATAGGTAGGTTAAAATAATATATAACAAAAATAATCACTTTTATTTTACTTCATCATAAATTATTGAAGTTATTTGCTAAATTACACTTGAATTAATTAAAAAAATATACAAATACAATATTTTTGAATATATAAAAAGTACATAAAACTTGAAACATTCTGTAAAACATATTAACTTTTATAATTATTTCATTTCAATCACGTTTATTTAAAAAGATTTACACTTATAAATCAAATAAAGTTTAAATATAATATTACAACATCGAAAAATAAACGTGATAACATTTTTCGTACATTTTACGATAGAAATATTATTGAGTTGGAATAGTCTATAATAATTACTACAAACTAGTTACTAACACATTTATACGTAATTCCGTTTTATAATGTATTTTAAATTATTATTTAATAAATGATAGGTGAAATGAATTAAACATTTCCTTCTTTGTTTGAAAGGAGTTATATATAGTATTTTTAATTAAACAAGTTTATTATCTATAATAATGTTATGTTTTACAAATTATGATTCAAAATTACTCGTTACTTTATATTTGTATATGTATTTTATATATTACTGTTTATATATAATTAATAATAATAAGGTCAAATCACATTTTTTTCATTGGTTTACTTTCTATACAAAATTATATTTATAAAGTATTTATATAAATATAAGATGGTATATAATATATTCGAAAATGATAAAATAAACTGACAGATATAATTATATATTAAATAATGTCGAGAAATCCTATCTAATTTTATAAATTAAGATTTCATCTACAATTGTACTCATATATAGGAAGATAAAATTTTTAGATTCAGCGCGCGATATTTAAATGTTATGTAAGATGAATGCATGTACTTGCAGCATCAAAAGAATGTATAAATAGATATTTATAATAGTTACAGCTTAGTAATATAATTTTTGTAACTTTACAATTTCTTAATGAATATTTTATTAAAGTTAATTTTAATTTTTGTTTTCTTACAAAGTTAAAGAAAACAATAATTTTGTATATATATTTAATTGCAAAATGAAATAATAATTATATCTACTATGATTATTAGAATAATAAAAATTAACATTCGATACATAACTTGATTTTAGTTTTATTGTAGCAAATAGTTTTAGAAAGGCTTTTTTAATTTTATATATAGTTATTTATATTTCCCGCGTTTATGGAACGGAAAGTTACACTGAGTACGCCATCTAATGAATCATGAAAATTTCGTGACTTATACGAATTGCATGCAGAACAGTCAAGCAGCCAGTAGAAGTGTGGTTCGTCGCCATTTTGTTTATTTTCGCGTAAAAGAGGTCTGAAAGACGATCATCGCAGCAGATCGTCCTGTCTTCGTCCGTGAAAACATCAGCTGAGTGTATCAGTATTCACGTTAAAAAGCTGGAA